CACTTAGAAAATTCGGATTCGGTGATTCACTGAGGTTGATGATGATGACGATGATTGTTCACACATATGAAACAGTCCTGTAGTGTGTTCATCAGGGTTTCAGTGGTATGTATCTATGTGATACAGTGAATCGCAATGACGCATCCCTTTACCACACGGATTAACTTGGGCCTTGTTCTGATACCATTTATAAGCGGAATTTCAGTCAATGAAAGATTAAACTTTGTGGGGACAGGCAAGCGGTGTGATAAGAGGGAACTAGGAGAAACACCAAGGATTGCAATGTGATATGAATACCGTACTCCGTTCTGCACACACGTCAACGTATTACACATAATCCAACTGTCATTTTTTAAGCGATTCTTTTCAATATCGGCTAGCAACATAATTGACACACACACACAGAGTGACATACTTGCGCGCATACGAATACCACTAGGACTCGAGTAGAACATTTCACATAGTGCGAACCTGATGGGAGTTTGTTGAAAGAGTGCCCCAATTTGGGGATCATTTATTCCGCTTGAGATGGTTGAATTTGTATTTGGTATTTGCATAACTTGTGTAAGTCTTACATCTCAGTTAAAAATGTATACTGTTAGTCACGCAGAATGGTATACACACTTTCATATAACATACAAAGTAAAGAAGGTCGCTGAAGTTTGTTTTATGTCCAAAACCTTGGAAGCAATTCACTTGCGACCTGTTCATTTGTGGTCAGGAGGAGTCGGGTTAAGTAGGGTACAGGGGAACTTTCATAAATGTTAATACGAGAGGGTAGATGCCANGATGCATTGGATGAAGAGGGTCGTCTAGAATCCTAATGCTGCACAACTGATTATCATCAAACCACAAAGAATGGTTTTGAAGTATTGTTCTAAAAGGCTAGGAAACATTACAGGAGAGCAATAGAGTACGGTAGTAGAGTAAAACGCATTGACGAACGAAAGAGGAAAGAGTTCGTGTAACTGAAAAGAGAGGCGTCTCAGTTTTTCCATGCACTTGTAGATGTTAGTGGACCAATGCAAGTTGCTGTCGATGGTGACACTTAGGTACTTGATTGAGTTCTTTCTGGACATAGGTTTACCGTTCAGGGTAGCAGCATACGTTGCAAATGAAGAGCGGTAAAGACAGAAAACACAACCTACGCACTTGGATGTGTCAAGACTGAGACCAGATTGACTGAAGAACTGTTATGGGATAGCATTTCAGTGAAAGAATGGAATTTCGTAAGAGAGGAATTTTTTGACACAGAACGACGTCGTCAATATACTTTTGGATGTGCGCGGGAGTGGGACCGAAAGACTGCTAATAAAAGCAGAAGAAAGATATGAAAATAGAACAGCATCTTGAAGGAAATCAGAATTATTAACAAGACGTTTCGATGTCCTCCTTCCCAATTCGGTGCNCGGTGCACTGGACCCTCTCCGTGAACTAGTCAGAAAGTCATCAGCCAACAGCTGTCTCGGAGTGTCACAAAACTCAGTTTTGTAAAGAAGAGATGATCGAAAAAGAGAACCAAACGCGAACAAATAGTCAAGAAAAACACAACGGTGAGACTTGGCTGAATCGTTCAATGACTTACTGATAAAATGGATTAGAGTAGATACGGTGTCCAGTGTAGATCTGTTGGGTTTATATGCAGGCTAGAAGGGGGTCGTACAGGATTGTCGTAATTGACCGCAAGCAATTCAAGTTGGCCTTTTCAGTCAACTTTAGAGCCGCAGAGGTCAGCGCGATTGGACGAAACCGTTTCGGAAGAAAAATTGAGGATGAAGATTTGGGGATCGCAGTAATGGTAACTTGACGCCAGGAATCTGTAATCGACCGGGACTCATTCACGACGGATTTCATCATATTGGTTAGGGAGGATGTTCCAAATTTCAGAAGTGCCAGAGAGAGACAATCAGGGCCTGCAGTTGAGTATGCTTTGGAGGATCGAAGAAGCTTAGAGACTTCATCATTGGAAAAGGGCACGGAATTGGATTCATTGCATGGGACGGAGAGCATGTGACTCTCGTTTGACCGGTGGATGAAAGTAGAGTTAAGGCTGTCGGAGTCTACTGGAGTATTCGGCTGTTTTCTGTTCTGCTCATAAGGAAGGCGAATAACTTGCCACTAAAGCCTGGTGCTTTTTGTTCACAGATTTTAGGCGGCGAAGATTACATTCAAATACGTTATCTCAAACCTGTTTAAGTTAGAATGGTGCTTTACGACTGGTGCATGACGAGATTAATGGGGCCTTTCTTTGTGCCTTCTCAGTGATTTCGAAAAGGGGTGAGGTGCTTCTAACGTCACAGACGAACACGGGCAACACAAGTGAAAGATCGATTCAATCGTTTCGGTGAAGAGATTGACACATTTAAGAAGCAATGGACAAGAATAAAATCAAGACTGAGCAGTCGTAACAGAACGATTGAGAAGGGACATGCGGTTGGATGAAAAGTCCCTTAAATGAAATTTTATCTGAGTAGAAGATGTGAATTTTTGGTAAGCAGTGCAAGAATATGCCTTTGATGTAACAAGAAGAATACAATGGTTACTGGTAGAAACCGGGGCCATCAGTTTGAGAGAGAATAAGTTGGGGTTGTTTGTGATCCCTTTATCCAGCACAGAACTACTTCTGGTAGGAGAATGAGAGCGGTCAGATAGACCAAATGGAAGCAGGGGGAAAATGTTTCCATGATTGAAACAAGAGATGGGAATCAAAGAAAGCAAAGATTTCCGTCTGAGAACACCAAAAAGATATATACACATTAGTGATGATTGTACTTTTGTGAACGGAAAATGTGGGATAACAATGAACAGTCCGTGCATTTTTCAGAATAAGAAAACATTGATGAAGGCTGCCACACCACCGACAGTTTTTTTCTACTTCGCTGCCTATCCTGCCTTTAATAATAATAATAATGATAATAATAGTATTAATAATAATAATAATAATAATAATAGTAATTGAAGCGTGAAGATAGCAGACAGTCCGGATGGAAACAAGAATCTAAATTCGTGTTTATCGATGCTCTATCGTTGAGGGACAGTCCAACGCAATGGTATTATGATGAGTGCGCCCAATTAAGGCGCCTGTCGTTCGAATGAGCAAAACGTGATCAATCACTCACGTTCCACTTTGTTTCTATAAAGTTCTCTTAGAAAAAAACAAAACACGGGAAACCGAAAACCCGAAACTACTATGTGGAAAATCCCTAAAACAAGGGATTTTGGATAAAAAAGAACGAAAAACGACTGATGCGACGCATATCTTGCTCGATGGGGTAAGCGAAACGAACAAAATGTGCTTGTCTTCTAGCACTTGTCCCGAAAGTGATGGTACTTCATTGGTCAGTGAGTGACTGATCATCCAAACGGAAGAACCCGAGTCCAATAAAGCAATGTGAGTGCAGATTCCTCCGGTCTGGTTGGGTGCATGCGACTGTGTGTGTGTGTGTGTGTGTGTGTGTGTGTGTGTGAAGAGGCAATCCGATCAAATGTATCAGCACACAAGGCGCTGGAGAAGAAAATGAAAAACTAACACCGTGAAAAGCCTCACATGATGCGAGACTGATGAACCGGATGTGTTTCGGTCAAATTGTCATGTTCAATCTCTACTGCTCCACTGCCTCATGCACCCGACAGCTGAATCATGGATTCTTTGTCAACTTTGGCTCATAAGGAAAACATGAAACAATCAGCAGTTGCGTAATCGAACAGATTTGAAACAAACTTTTGGGCCGCGATCAGTAAAAAATAATAAGCCGCCAGAGCTAGTTAGTGAGCTTTTACCATACTTCATTCAGTGATGCACAGTCGAGAACATTAACGAGGATCTACTAACTGTTTTTTTGTCAATATTTAAATTTTTTACTTCCTCTTTTATATACCGAATAAAGGAATTTGAATTCAACTTTCAGGAAGAGGGTCGCGGCCACAAAAAGACTGCATGCGGAAGATGAGCAGCAGTGTTTGAGGAGGGGTTCGAACCAGAGGCTTCCGGGTCACTAATCTGATAACATGAACCACTTGACCATTACGGCACTCTTTCTCGGGGCAACTTAATCACCAGGACTTAGATCGATGGAAGAAATCGGAGAGCCTTCCATAGGATAGGTAGGCCGTGGGTGAAGAAACACTTCACACACAATATGGGCCCAAGGGTGATCGCCGAAATAAAATTGAGCATTAGAAAATTTGTGATGCGGCTATATGACCAGCGTTCCTGCAAAAAGATGTACGCAGCTCGCGAGAACTGTGATGAACAGAGAAACAAAGTAGAGGTCTCATCATGAATTCCAGTTTGGGAGCACCACTCGAGAAATAAGCGGATCCAAAAACAGCATTTCAATCATGACCATTATGCCTGCCACTTTGAATATTGCCATTTACACTGCATCACTATAACAAACCAATAAGCTCGGGATTGATTGAAACAGTAGCCAGTACCTTGTGTGGACAAAACTATTTCGAGATTGATGACAGACAATAACCGCCCCGGGGGACTTCATTTTAGGAAGAGGTCTCGCTGAGCAAGCATACGCGCACACACCCAGACGTGTAGGTACGGCTTCATACATAACGAGGTAGACCGCGACAGAGCAATTGAAAAAATAGCCTTCTCAACCATAGACGATACCAAACAGTATCCGTGAGTGATTGATTCAATACGAAGTTTCTTTAACGGCCGATTCGATATCCTTAAACTGTGTAGTCCATCACTTTTTGTCTAACCACATCACTCTTCGTCAAAGTCTAGAACACAGACACTCCTTACGTAGACCCATCATGTCTATCCTCGATCTAAAAGCGGCTTTCGACTCAGTCGACCGCTGTAAACTCTGGCGCTGCCTCACTCTGAAGGGTGTGCCCGAGAAGTTTATTCCCATATTACAATCGCTTTATACTAATAGCCGGAGCCGAGTCCGAGCTTACGGTACTTATTCACCCGAGTTCACCACCGAAAGTGGTATTAGACAGGGTTGTCCTCTCTCTCTTCGTTTCTATTTAACTTCGCTATAGATTTCATTTTTGAAACAGCCCAATCTTCGTGCGAGAATAGCGTTATCGATTTACTCTCAGGTGGAAGACTGTGTGATC